AAACAGCAATGGTAATGGATGTGAGTGACATTCAGGAGGTATCACTATAGGATTTAGGGACTTATTGGTTGTGGAAGAGAGATAACAAGTCAAGGGAAAAGGCCTAGGCTGCCTTTTTGGTTTAAGGTTAATCAAAGAGTTAGATAAACCAGGAAAATCAGTCAGAAGGATAGTAAAAATAAGGAGTTTCATTTTGAACATGTTAAGTTTGAGCTAGGGGATCTTCAGAAATGGGTTTAATAGACAATTAGATGTATGGATGGGAGGGTAGATAGTCAACATCAGTAATGGGAAACTAGAGTCAAATATAAAAGTGATGGTAAAACAGTACCTAGCTGTTCTAAATTTGTTCAGAAACTTTGAATAAGTAAATTACATTCTGATATATGAAAATGTCTTTAAAAAGAATGCTGAACCAACCAATAGTCTTTGAGGACCTCTGGAGACTGAAAGAGGAGCCGTAAGATTGCAAATAAGCAAATATAGTGTCAATGTTCAAAGTCAAGCCAGCCTAACCTCTAACATTAAGGGATCTTAAACTACCTGGACAGAGGAATGCTTTATGCATCAGCTATTGTTGTTACTAGTAGTTATAGGAGGCTAGAGGAGGGTAATCCAAACCCTGCTAAGGAAAGATTAGTTAAAAGAAGAGATTTAAAGAGGTATTCTTTAAGCAGTTTATTAAAATTTATGAATCATTTGTAAGCCAATGTCTAAAAGTTGGTGAAAGTTCCTAAGTGTTTTGGTTGCTGGCTCACATGCCCAACTCCCATCAGCGTGTATGGGAAGTCAGCTACCAGCAATAGCCTCTACCCCGGGACCAAGGGCAACTTTCTGCTTGAGTATCTATCTGATAAGTTTAGGTGCTTCTTCCATTTCTGATCTCATCTTTTTGCCTTCATACTTTACATACTTCAGTTTTTCGTACATGTTTCTGGCTTCTGTGTCAATAGCAATTCAGAATTTGTTTTTTGTTTGTTTGTTTACTTGTTCCTGGCCTGCTGTCCTTGACTCTGACCCCAAGTCCTTACTGGAGGAGAAGGAGAAACTACTTTTAAAAATTTCCAGACATAAACTGAAGTATGTAGAAACACAAGAACAAAGCAAATATTAGATTTTTATGGAAAACAGGAAAGGCTTCTTTGTCTCTCCAGATCAGAAGAAACTCAGCATTTTGGTAGCTACTAAATCAGAGCGACGCTCTTCCTAAATTGTGGTTTGGAATTCCCCACACCACTGAGTTATTGTTTGTACTGGATAAAATCTTGGGATTACATTCATTGCCCATTCCACTGAACCATACTTTTCATTACTCCCCATATTGAGTTCACCAGAAGGCTGGGGTCATACAATACTATCTCTTTGAAAAAATAAAATCTATGGACAAATGACTTTGAAAAATACTGTATGCCATAAACAGTGCTTAGATATTCTTAAGATAAATTAACTTAATAAAAACTCCAAGCCCTGGCTGGAGTACCTCAGTGGATTGAGTGTGGACTTCGAACCAAAGTGTCGCAGGTTCGATTCCCAGTCAGGGTACATGCCTGGGTTGCAGGCCATGACCCCCAGCAACCACACATTGATGTTTCTCTCTCTCTCTCTTTCTTCCTCCCTTCCCTCTCTAAAAATAAATAAATAAAATCTTAAAAAAAAAAACCTCCAAGAGCTCCTTCAGAAAACAATCAGTTTACCTGGGTTTAATCTAGTAGTCCCTACTTTATTTTTTCATGGAATTATTTGTAATCTATATGTTATAAGTGTAGTATTTGGTGAAAGAATTGGTAGCTGCTTTCCTTTGAACACCTACTCAATACTCATTTATTCTTGAAAGAGCCTTTTAATTAGGGCAAGCATATGTCCCAATTTGCCTGGGACATTCCCAGTTTACTTCTGTTGATCTGGTGTAATTATTAATATTTCCCCTTTTCTACACTCAAAAATATTCTGATGACTAATAATATGGATACTTGACTTATAAGATACCTATTATTATCACTTGGGGGACAATAATACCCTCAAAATATCATGGGGCATATTGAAAAAATAACTGCCCTCACGGGGAGGGACCCCATCAGCACATTTAGTTCATTGAGGTGTGTGGTAGACATCACCCTCCTCACCCAGGTGATTCTAATGTGCAGTTAGAATTGAGAACTGAGACTCATTTCAGGGGAAGAAGTCAATGGCATAGGAAAGTCTATTTTTTCCTCAGCAGCACCAAGTGCCATGACAACTTGTTCCCCTTCCATTACTTTGTATACCTTAAAACTACATCTACACAATTTCTGGCATGAAGTTTTTTCCTAATATCTCGCCGTGACACTTGAAAATATCAGGTGACTTTAAGATTAAAAAAATTGGAAGAGGTGCAGCACAGGAGATCAGTTCTGATCAGAAAACCACATGATCTGGAGTCTTGGGAAGCTTCCCTTCCCAGTGACTGACCTTAGACAAGGGTGCAGCCTCTCCGGTTTCCAAACTCCTCCGCCGTGCCATCTCCTGGTCTGCCTTCTGTCATTTTTAAAGTTCTTAAAAATCTTCAGTGGTTTGTCTGGATGTCCCAGAGTTTCTAATCACCTGAGTAAAATTTATTTTATTTACAGTTCCTAAGGTGGTTTTCTTTTGAAAAGAGTAACCAAAGCTATCATTTCCTTGAAACTTAATGACCTTTCCTATGGGCTAAACTTTCCCATGCCTCTCGAAGAGCAATCTCTACTCTGACTCTTCATATGAATTTCCCCCTATATTCAAGGATAGTGTTCAAAGCCCCTAAAAACACTTGCTCCTTATCTTGGCTGGATGGCAGCTCCATTTGTTGGAGCATCGCCCCATACACTAAAAGGTTGCGGGTTTGATTCCCGGTCGGGGTGTGTCCGAGAGGCAATGGATCAATGCTTTTCTCTTTCTCTCCCTTTCTCTCTCTCTAAAAATCAATAAGTATATCCTGTTGCTTATTGATTGAGGATTGATGGCTTATGAATAAGTGAGGTTTAAAAGTGAATAAGGTTTTAAAAAAAGAAAATAAAACACTTGCTCCTTCTGCTCATTGAGCAGGCCTGGGAGCGACCCAGTCTGGCCCTGTTATATAGACAGAAGTCTTAAATTGGTACCATGCAGTATCAGGACACGCTTTAACCTTTCTATCATTCGTGGCCACCACAAATTTGTTTCACATCTCAGCTAACTGTAGCGTATATAGAACATTCAAGTCATTTGTTTTCATATAAGACTGTCAGTACTTCGATTACCTTCTCAATATTTGATCTCTTCAAGACTTTCTCCATGTATAGTCTTAACTGAATGCTCAAGAAGTCATAACTCCAAAGGGTAAGTAGCGTGACTGTCACCTTTTTCATAGATATTGACACACCATGTATAAAAACAGCAGGAAGTCATTGTTTATTACTTATATTACACTTACTAGGATTTTTTGCTAAGAAAAATGGGAGCAGACATTGCTCATGAGGAGTACACGCTTGAAATGAACTTGTCAGTCAACAAATGAGAAAATGGTCTATGACATCATGTGTGTATTGCATCTGATCACAAATGCCAGTGACATAATTTAGAACAATCTTTTACATGTTGAAAATTGCCAAAATGCCTGCTGTGCTGTTCCTTTTGGAAAGCTGGTTGATATGTAGTATTTAATTAAGTATTTTCAAACCATCCTTTTGTGAGCCTGTTTCACTTTAGCTAGAGTTATGACAGCTTGTTGCTGTTAGTTTTTTTAAAAAGAAGGCATAGTTTAGTCTCTCTCCCTTCCATTCTCTCTCTCTCTGATGCAGAATATTTGTCTTTTTAAGTGAAGTAAAATAGCCTATTTTAGAGATGTGGAAAGAGTAAGTGTGAATGTGTTGCTAATGTAATGTGTTCTCAGTGTAAATAGGAATAATCTAATGAAAACATCCCCATTTTAGTATTATTATGGAAGTAGAACCATATTTTCTCTTTTTTTGCAACTTTTTTGGTATTATGGAACCGTTGCTACCTGAAGGAAACCACCACATAACTAAAGTCATTTCATGTATATCCCTTAAGCGAACTGCCTTAGCCAGCTTACTAATTCACCCAGTGAGCATCTCTTTGGTTAGTATTACAAACATTTTATTACTTTCTTACACTCATTTATTAATAATTTTCCATGTCATGTTTTGTCATCAGGGAAGGAAAAATCACATTCAATTTTTCTTTCTTCTTTTCCTATTATGCTCTGTCATAAGATTGAAAACTTTTAGTTAAATGAATAGTTGGCTCAAATACTACTTGAAATATAGACTCATTATTCTCAACAAGAGAAATCTTGAATTTAAATTCCATTATCTTGGCTAAAATTTCTTTTAATTAAATCTTGGAAAAACATACACATTTCACAAATACGATTTGTAATTTTTTTCCTTCAACTTTTGCATTTTCAGGAGTTTTCAGATTTTGCTAACAATTTTTAAAAAAATGTCTTTCATGAACTAATGATTATAATTTGGTAATTACCTGGAGTAGCATTTTATGTGTCATAGATATTATTTGGCTAGCTTAACCAGCATTCTAGAAAATAGACTAGAGGCATATAGAGAATGGAAATGTTCTTGTCTTCACGTTCATACTTTTTCTTTGCACCTCTGAGATATACGGCTTCTGTTATTCAGCCACAATCTGCTATTTCCAATTCATCCCTAATGACAAAACGGCGATAGCTTTTGGAAAATTTTCTTCTCAAGATCTCACGTTATTCAGTCATTAGCAAAAAAGAAAGCAAGAAAATGTGAAAGGTACTGAGATAAGTCCAGTGTCTACAGCTGGTTTCAGCAATTTCAACTTGTGCGAGACCCCGAGCTTGTGAAAGAAACCCAAGAATCTTTGAACAGGATGTAATCAAACTCCAATCTGCTGAGAAACGCTGCAAAAATGACTTCAGCTGCCAAAAATAATAATGTCGTTTACAAGCAGCTCTTCCTATGTCTAAGGAAGGACTAGCCACACAGGAGTTTACGCTGGCTTTGGAGGAACAAACTAAGGAAAGGGCAAGTCCTGCCTCCCCCACCCTAAAACACACAGTATCAGAATCCACTGGAAGCTGTGGCCCATTCCCAAGGTGCTGGCAATACCGAGGGAGAGTCATATCCACAAAAATCTGAACGGTAAGTGACCCCGGGCAAAGGGATTATATTTGGCAATGATTCTGTGCTGTCACTTTCTCTCTGTAACCAGGCTGCCCTGTCTCGTGAAGGCAGAGCTGTTAACTACCTCTTAGTCACAAACCCCAACTCAAATCTTTCCTTCTTTTTCTTTTCTCCCAAAATATTGTCTGGCAGCTTCCCTCAAGGGACAAGAGCTTGGGAGGGAATATTCACGAACGATCCCTGAGATAACTTTCATCACAAAAGCCCTGCACCTACCTCTGTGAAGCCTGGGCTGCGTGGTCCGCATGGGCTGGATGTGAAAATAGACCCGGTGTGATGGCTTCTCCAGATTTACCAGAAAGAAAGGACCTGGGATGCTTGTCCTTTAAGTGTCTCTAAACATGGTTTGCATAGCTGGATCTCCGCTTATCTGTGCCTTTCGGCTTTCGCTTCCATACATGGATCTGTTCCCAACAGTAACTCCAAGCTGTCGAAAAGAAGCTATCTGGCAGCTCCCTGCTTCATCCAACACATGGATGATAAAAATACACATATAGAGAGCCTTCCAGCCAGGCCCGTTTCTCACCCCACCATCCTGCCACTGTGCCTTTTTGCAAATACCCTTTTCAGATTGACATTTCTCCTCTACAGACCTTCAGGAAACTACCAGTTTCTGATTCCCACAGAGAGCTTTCAGAGTGTGGGTTTGCTTAGCTTTATTAAAAAAAAGATACAGTCAGAGTCCCAGGATCTTCATCCTTAAACATTGTAAGAATAAGATGCGTGGGGGGCCCAAGACACGGTTAGTGAATGAATGAATGTATAAATGAATGGCTGAGTAAATGGATGGCATTGTGTGTGCATAAATAAATACAAAATTATTTATTTAATTAGGAATAGTTGTTAACACGCCGGATTATTTGTCTTAAAGGATAAGGTAGCGGCAGAAGGTCAAAGTAATCAAAATCTCTAAAAGAGAAGGAGAGGCCAGCTTCTTATTTCAACAGCTTCTCATTTAGGATATTGCAGCAGTTCCTACTAAGTAAGTTATATATACAGAGCATATGGTTTGAGATTTAGAAAACTTTTTTAATGTTATGGATGTAAACCTAATAGAATACTGATTGCTACATTTTTTAAGTGCCAGTGATACTTTAAAAAACACATAATTGTGACCTAAAATTTAAGATAGGGGAAGGGGGTCATAAATCCTGCTCTGAGTAGTAGAGGTGAGAGGTACCCCCAGAGGGTTGCCCCAACTCTGCTTAGCTTTTCAGTTTTTAAATTTATCTCTCCTTTTGAAAATTTGTTGTTACTTTTGTGTAACAAGAGATCAAAATATGGAAAGAGAGGAGAAGAAGAGAGAGGGGTGGGGGGAGAATTTTCAAGTAACATTTTTTCCATTGGTAATTTTTTTCTCAAAACTATGTTAAAATTCTTGTAGAGTCTCTTGTTTGAAGAAGAAAAAAGACATTTGAGGCATAGGGGGGTAGTTCATTTTGGTGTACGGAAATGAAATGTTTGCTTTAAAAATTGCAGAGGAGAAAAAGGAGGGGTAGACAAAACACCTACCTACCTGCCTATAAGGGGTTCACTATGTTATCCTTTCTACTTTGTTTACACTTTAACATTCCTATGAAAGAAATAAAAGAAAAAAGAGAGAAGAGTACAAAATGGGCATACGAATGGCAAGTTTGAAGAATCCCACATTTCACCAATCTCTGTGTAAAAGCACTTAGGCCAGAACAAGAAGAGGCCAAGGTTGTAGTGTTTTATTCAATATATTCTGACAGTCTAACCTCTTCCCATTTAAATCCAATCAGATATGTATATATTTTCATATTCTATATAATAATTTACTTTATGTCATGTATTATCTAGATAATATATTATATATAATACATGCATAACATATTCTCTATATAATAATATATATCTAATGAAAAGTAAGATATGATATTTAAAAAGCTGACCAAACATAGCTCAGAGATGGACATTGTACATGATTACCTTACCCAGGAGCTATTCAATGTCCTGTCTTCCCTTGCCTTCTTTTATTTTAGAAATCCAAAAGTAAAACTCTTTTCTTATTGTTCTTGGCAGCTGGAAATAGCCGTGTAACTCAGTTTGGTCAAACAGGTGTGAACCGGAGTCCCCTGGGAGGGACTTCAGGAAAGCATCTATTTATTTGTTAAAACCTGATGGGCTCAGCTTTTGGGCCTCTTGTCCCTGTATCCCTTCCACTTATTTCCTTCCAAGACAGCAAACTTGAAGCCTCAAATTGCAGCAGTCATTTGGTGACCAGGAGGGGACGGGCAGAGGACAAAGACCTATGAAATAAGGAAGGTGGACCAAACATCATTGATTCGCTGTCACAACTCTGAATTTACCCACCTCTGAACTTCCTGTGATGAGAGAAAAATGAAACCAAAATTAATACAAAAAGCAGATTCCAGATTGTGAACTCAGGATTTGAATTAAAAAAATGTGCTCTGGCCCTGCCTCTGTTACTGACTAGCTGAATGACGTTGGTCATGTTGCGGAGTTCTATTTTCTTCTCTGCTAGTCAAGAGAACACTTGACCTTCTAACCTGAGAATTATACTATGAGTTGCTGTGTGTGGTACATCTTCATAAATTGTACGAGATTATATCAATGTAAGGTACTGTTTATTTAATATACAAGGTGGTTGACACATGGGGCCCGCAGTGACTCCATAGTTACATATAACAGGGACCAGGCGTCTGCTTTCTGTTCAAAGAAGAATTTGCAGACGCTCTGACGGGCTTAACTTAAAACCTCTTGTGAATTCTGCACCGAAGTTAGGAGCAGCTAAGGTATGAAAAAGAGGATATGTTCCAAAATCTATTGGCCTATTTTGGCCTGGCCAAACTGAGATGGCATGCTCTTAACTTGGACAGTGAGCACCCTGGGCTTGGGGGATCTTTCCCAGTTCTGGAAGAGGCTGTGGGGTGTGTGGACAGGAAAAGATATCCTGACAAAGAGGTTAAAGGCCTATCATGTTCCTTAGAAAGAGCTTAAATTGGTCTCCTTTGAACCCTGTAGATGCGAAAGTCAGGATTAATGTATGGATATATTTGCCTAACTCCATGAAGGAGGGTGTCGTACAAAGCTTGAGGGCATGCTGTTTCATGATGGGGTGCTTTGCACATGCTGTTCTTTTCAGTGAAATGTCCTGCACCTCTGCCCCAAATTATGTGCACACATACACACATTTCACCTTGGCCAGAAGAACATATTTCAGTCCTTTAACATTCAGCTCAGTGTGTCTTCCTTTCTGAAGTCTGTTCTGACTTTATAACCAGGTGTTCCAAAGAACACACAGCATATTGCTGTAGTCTGTTCCTACTGTCTGCCCTTGGCCATTGACTGTGAGCTCCAGGAGGACATGGGCCCCATGTTATTTGCCAACTCTGTATCTCCCACATTTGTTAGCGTGTCTGTCTTAGAGTAAACAAGCCTTACTTGCTTACTATATATAGTACAACAAGTTGGTTGAAGAATTACCTGCATCAGTAAATGAGTAAAAAATGAGTAAATGATAGTTAAATCTCAACTGGTGATCATTAGCTTAGCAACCCTCCCTGCTGTGTAAAGTATAAGAACTTCAAATATCCCATTGTCCATCTGGGTAGGGACTGTCAGCTCAAAGGAGATAGAAAACAGAGTGTTCAGAAATATTGACACCATTCTAATTTATCCAGGAAGATTATCTAATGTTTCAAGTTACCCAACTCAATGGGCCACCACATTAGCACAGACTGCTTAGCGCTGATAGCTGACACCAACTATTACTACTAAGGAGGGGTGAGGATTGTAAGTTTTTAAAAGATCATAGATATTATTTTTTTGTGTGATTTAAACAATAAGTTATTTTTGTGTAATGATGTGGGGGTACTCTTTTATAAGTGACTTGCTAAGTCACACAGCAAGTTTTTGAAAGAATTGAAGGAAAATACAAAATGCCCATTGCATCTTGCAAAACTAGAAATGAGGAAAAGATTAAACATGGCGCTTACCCTGGAAGAACCACCTCAAACATCTCTTCTAAGGCAATTTTTTTGACCTGTTTCCAGTACCATCATTGACATAATAATTAGTCGCAGTGGGGTTCCATTAGCACCATGTTCAGATTTCTTTATTTTAACAACTTTTTTTTCACATTCCATACAAATCACCAAGTTAATTCAATGTTTTTCAGTATATTCACGCATATGTGCAAACATCCCCACAATCAGTTTGAAAACATTTCTATCACTTCCCAGTCCCTCCACTCTCCCTTGCCCCAAGTAACCACTAATCTACTTTCTGTCTTTACAAATTTCGCTATTGTAGGACTGGAATCATATAGTATGTAGTTGTTGGTGACTGGCTTCTTTCACTTTGCAAAGTTCATCCATTGGTAGCAGGGATCAGTACTTTAGTCCTCTTAATAATTCATTATGTAGATCCACCCTATATTGTTTATCCATTTATCCATTAATGAACACTAGAATGGTTTTCATCTTTTGGTAATTATGAGCAATGTTGTTATAAATATTTCTGTACAAATGTTTGCATGAACATTTGTTTTCATTTCTTTTAGCTGTGTCCCCAGGAATGGAATTGCTGATAATGCTATGTTCAATCATGTGAGAACTGCCCAATTGCTATCTGAAGCAGTGGTACCATTTTACATTCTCACCAGCAGTGTAGGAGGGTTTAATTTTTCTACATGCTTTTTATCTGACTTTTGTGTTTTCTGACTTTTTTGCAAGTATCGTAGTGTTTGTGAAGTGGTATCTCATTGTGGTTTTGGCTTGCTTTCCCTGATGACTAATGATGTTGAACAGTTTTTCAAATGCTTATTTTTTATTAGTGTATCTTCTTTGGAGAAATACCTATTCAGATTCTTTGGCCATTTTTATTGGAAAAAACTGTGTTACTTGTCTTTTTTATTATTGAGTCATAAATGTCCTTTATACACTCCAGACACAAATCCCTTAGATATATGATTT